TAAACCCCTAAACCCCGGAACCCCTAAACCCCCAAACCCTAAACCCGGTTTAGCACAGGCAGCAGCAGCTTTATCCTTCTATCCTGCGCTCCAACTCGAAACCGCAACCTCTAAACCCTATACTTGAACCGCACAACGGTTTAGGGTTTAGGGTTTAGGATTTAGGGTTTAGGGTTTAGGGTTTAGGATTTATGGTAAAGGGTTTAGGGTAACCGATATGACTTAGCCATATCATGCCGCCCCGAAACCCCTCAGCCCTGAAAAGGTTCAGGGTGCAGGGTTTAGTCCTTAGAGATTAGGGTTATGGGTTTATTAGTCCTCAGAGACCGGGGTTTAGTTGGGTGTTCAGGGTGCAGTCCTGAGAGGTTACCGGTATAGGAGCCTTATAGAAGGTCCACAGACCTTATAGAAGCCTTATAGAAGCCCTATATACCCTAAACTCCCCACCTGTAGTTTCCTTTAAATCAGAATTTAGATCTTCGTCCATAGACAGTAGGGTTGAATGGGTAGCCCGGCCGCAGAGATCCGAACACATAGTCCGAAGCCCCATAGCCTGCACCCTAAACCCTAAACCCTAAACCGTACACTGAACTCTTTCTCCTCTGGAGACCTGAAATCTAAAGCTTACAAACTAAGCCCGAACCCCTAAAAAGCCCGAAAGAAGAATGCATCTGAAACCCAAAGCTTCAACTTTGCTTTGAATCCACCTTGCCGGTGAAATTACAGGGCTCTCTTCATGATTTGCTATTCCAGGGTAACTCCTAAAACACGATTGGGTTTCCAAGCGTTTTTGTTGAGGCTTCGGCGTCATCCTGACGCAGTTGGTCACCGACTACTGCCGCTTCCTGGCAGTCGAGGCGAGCAACAACATGAATGCAGTTCCGGAATCTGGTCTGCGACAGCAGTCTCATCCTTGTGTTTTCGCCTTCTCTTTCTTCTGTAGTATAGGGCCGTATCGTCCCTAAATGGTTATAGCGCGATAGACCCGAAACCATGCTGAAGTTATTCAGTTCCCCTCAACCTTTGAACCCTAAGCGCCAAGCCCTTGTTACATGCCAGCCGAAACCCCTAAACCCAAAGCCCCTAAACCCTAAACCCTAAACCCTAAACCCTAAACCCTAAACCCTAAACCCCAAACCCTAAACCCCAAACCCTCAACCCTAAGCCACTAAACCCTAAACCCTAAGCCCTAAACTCTAAACCCCAATTCCCTAAACCCTAAAACCCTAAACTCCAAACCCTAAACCCTAGAACCCTAAATCCCAAACCCTAAACCCCAAACCCTAGACCCGAAACCCTATCCCCTAAATCCTATACCCTAAATCCTAGAACCTAAACCCTAGAACCTAAACCCCAAACCCTTAACCCTAAATCCTAGAACCTAAACCCTAAACCCTAAATGAATGACAACCCTATCTCCAGAGTCGGTGAATAGAGGGGGCTAAGTTTAGGGTGTTAGGGGTTTAGGGTTTAGGGTTTTGGGGTTTTAGGGGGTTTGG